CCCCAAAACCCCAAAACCCCAAAACCCCAAAACCCCAAAACCCCGATTTATTCTATAAAGCTTGAAATATTTATTTAGTTAACATTAAAATGTTTGAGGATACCAAGTCATATATTCCCTCTGAAATGGGGAGCATGAAGATCAGAGATATTCCAGAGCACCATAAAGGTAAGCTTCATTCTCCTCGCACTAAATTTTCAATCCTGATTTCCAGCCATTAAGCAGCTCATTTATAATCTTCTCATAGGGTTCAAGAACCAATGGGGAGCTTTGTTAGACCAGCAGGCAGAAATCCAACGCTTGGCTGACGAACAAGAGAAACATAATCAACTAGCCAAAAATAATAAGTATAAAGACGAACTTAAAGCCCAACTTGCTTTGAAGGACAGTGAGCGTAGACTAGAGAAACAAGTCAGGCAGAACCCTAATGAGCAAAAATTGTTATCAGATGACTACAAAAGGTTCGAACAGAAGGAATTTGACCGCATGAACATGGGCAGGTCAAAGAGCAAACAAGTCATGCTTGAGAACCAACACATTATTAAGATGAGACAGAACGAATATATTAACACTAAGGAAATGGATAGGGATATGTTCAATCGTCAAGCTATGGAAGACAATCTTCATGCCGAAAAAGCCAACCAGGAGAAGAAGAAATGGCATGATTGGCAAAAAGAATCCCTCAAGAACAATTATGAACAACAAATGCAGAGGAAGGACTACCTCACTAGAATGGAGAAGGAGAAAGATAGGGTGTATGCTGATCAATACAAACATTCAGTAGAAGCTTATGAGAAAAACCACAATGATACCTTGAATAACTTGAGAAGAAGAAATAATGAAATCATGGACCACCAAATAGCAACTGTTATTCCAAACGTTAACGACAAGAGGAAGGATGATGCAGTTAACAAGATGAAGAAACAGTTTGAGAGTACTGAAAAGGAGACCCTCATGAAAGAGTTAAAGAGGCTAAACCACAGAAATAAAGAGGCCCAAGAAACCTCAAAAATGCTCAAACTACAAATGGACATGAGAAAGAAGAAGTATGAGTCTGATGTTAATGAAGAGAAGCACTATAAGAATTATGTTGACAACACAATTAACATGCTAGGCGAGAGAGATAGAAAAATGGCACAAGAGAAGGAACAAATCAGGCAAACATATGCTAAGGAGTTAGAATCTCAGATAAAAGAACATAATGACAAAGAGAAGAGGATTTATAACGAAATGGACGAACGAAGCCTAAAACTTAACCAAAGAGGCCTAGCAGCTTATGAGACCGGAGAAAGAGCAACTGGACTATTCAAGCTTCCTGGGATTGACAGGGAATCAAAAGATAATAGAGAGTACTTTGGGCGTTATGCGAAGAGAAAAGAGGGGTCAAGATTTGGAGGATCTCTTGCTAATAGTCATACTGGACCCTTAAGTGAAAGGATGAATAGAGATTTACCTAAGACATCAGAAGAGTACCTTTCAAGAAGAAGATCATCAAGAGGAGCCTTTTCACCAAAGAGCCATACTTCCAATATTTTAGGTCAGCCGATCAACAACAATAGTAATAAGAATATACCATCATTGGGAAATTACAAGTCTGTGGCAAACCTTCAGACTCCACATAAAGTCCTTCCAACTGCTGACTCCCAGAGAGGACTCAATGATATGAATGTGTTAACAAGGAAGAGTACAACAATGTTATCAGCAAGGAAAGAAGAAGTGCCTGAATACCAGCCTACTGAAAGAGATCATACCGCTAGGAGAAGTAATCCAGTGAACGAGTCAAATCTTGTCAAAGCTACTGCTGAGAAGCCAGAAATAAAGAAGGAAATTATAAAGAAGCCAGCTACTCAAGCTAAGCCAAAAATGGAGCAGGGTAAATTCTCTGTTAAAAAAGATCTGCACTCTCTTGCTGATATTGACACTCAGTTGAACCAAAGAGTCTTGGGATCTATGCGAGGAGGAACCTTCAAACTCAATAGTAATAATTAAGGACTAACAGCTGGGAGCCATGGCAGCTATGCCTAGTCATAGTTATTTCAATTTTGGATAATTATTCACCTATTCTTTGTCCTATCTTCTCCCATTTTTATTGTCAATAAGAAGTGGCTTTATCAGAATAATATTAAAACAGGAAAATCCATTTCGAATTTTTCATTATGCCTTCAAGATTATTATATTACCAGGGGTTTTGGGGTTTTGGGGTTTTGGGGTTTTGGGGTTTTGGGGTTTTGGGG